TCCTTTATGTGCAGGCGTCGTGAAACGATGCTTAAGTAAAGTTGTTGGGCTCACTTCCGTTTCGAGTGAAGGTGTGTTATGAAGAGATTTTTGGTCGATCCGACCAGAAGACAACGGCAGACTCCTCTTGTCTCTATTTGAGCATTCTAGCTGATGCTGTCCCTTAGGCCAATTTCCATCGGTTCAGGTGAGATCATGCTAAGCTTTCCTCTGTCATATCGCGAACATCATTAGAGTAGGATATTCTTACTAACAATCCAATAAAACTCCAAGAGGAGTCCGATGCTGTATTCTGGTGGGGTCAACCTTGAAATCGCTTCGACATTTTGACATAAAATTGAAGTGATCTCAACGAATATAAACCAAGAGGTTACTCATAATTTTGAAAGTTCACAAAATACTAGTATACAAGATATGGTCGGCTCAGTTTTTCCTTTTTATAGTTTTGGTTGGACCACATTTTCGAAACTTCTTTGGAGCCACAGGGAAACTTTGTAGAACGTACCTAGTTCTGCGTCCTCTGCTATAGCATTCATAATAATTTCCAGCATTGGACGGCTGATTTGATACATTCTTATTTTGGCCCAATGTCGGAAATTATCATGAATATAATGACAGAACAAACATGCTTCTATCATGTATACACATTCTAATTCAATTCCGAGAAAATCCTTCGGTTTCCGACGAGGCTGATTTATAAATTCATTTCACGCCTTTCCAACCTATCTAAAAATACTATAGCGTGATGGTATTAAGTTATTCTTTGCAACCTGTCCCATTATTGTTTGATTGGTTCACATAATTCATCATCTTGATATCTACTATTTAGTTATTTATTATCAGGTTTATGTCTATCGGGTCTTATTTGCTCTCTGACTTTATTATTGTATTTAGTCTGGCAGCCTATTTAGAACCGTCTCATGTTCTCGAATATCTCGCCTACTTCGGTTTCACCTACCAGATCCCAGGACTCAGCTCTGTCATTTGCCCTCCGTTTGGTGTCAGTTCCTCCCCTTTTGGCGCTATAGACAGTGATAATATTGGAGGTGAAAGCTACACCAATTGGTCTGAATCTGCCAGCTTTTTTAACTCTTCAGGTGCTAAGCTGGCAAGCAGCACTGCTCAAGACCTGCTTTCGCGTGGCATCACAGTGACGGCAGAGAAACGACTGGACGTACTTCGGCATAGCACGAAGCGCACTGTCTTTTATTGTCGCATTTACGGTTCCCGGAAAGTCGGAAAGGTTAGTCATTTAAATAGTACATATATTAAAAATCTGGTTTCAAAGATTCTCCTGAGATAAGATTGATTTGAAGAATTTCATTTCGTATGGAAGTGTATAGTGAAGGTTAATCGCACCAGAAGACATTGGCTGATTCGCGTTGTACTGCAGCCACTTGGCATCCTCCAAGGTCTTGGGCGAAGACAGGTTGAGCTTACGTTCGTCATTTGACGAAAATCGTCAGTACTGTAACTAAATTTCGCGAGAGCCTATATAATATATGCTCTCATTGCGCAAAACCTGTCATAACTAAAAGTAATTGGGAAAAAGTGTAAAGTTAGCACCGGGGCATCAAGGCGTAATGATACAAGGAAAAAAACGAATGATGCCATTGTCTTATTCTGTAAGTATCTATGATTCTGGGACGAGGAGCTGAAGAAATTGACTAGGATCTTTCTTGGTAATGGCTACCCAAGCGAAGTGATACAAAAAAACATACGGGCCGTGGAAAGCCGATGGCAGAACGGGATTATGAAAGGACAATAAGGACGATCAAAGATTCAACAAAATGGATATGCCTGCCTTCCTGCGAACTAAATCAAAAACTACGACCAATATTGACGAAATGGAATACTCAAGTAGTCACGAAGGCATAATCAACACTTTTCTCCAGTTTGCCAACGCAACATGAAAAGATAGACAAATTGGACTGCTCAGGCGTTTACTGTATATCATGCGGCGGCTGCGGACAAAAATATATTGGCGAAACGGGGAGAAAAATCAGCAAACGAATCAAGGAGCATCAGAGGCTTTGCAGGAAAATGGATACGGAAAGATCAGAATTAGCGGAACTCATCGCAAGA